CAGTATACTTAAAATAAAGAGATTTTATTCGGGAAAGAAAGAGTACTTATCGTTCCATATTGTCAAAAATCGTAATGCCTGTAAAAATAAAACACTATATAGCGTGGTATCTGGTATGTTACTATAAATTGACGGGTATTTTACTACTTCAAAACCAAATTTGTCCGTTTTGTCGAAAATACCGACATTAAATTTATTGTCAATTATATTAATATCCAGGTCAAGAACAGATGCATTAAAGTGCTAGAATTTTCTTTATTTAATATTAGTTCTGGGGGACTTATTTCACTTTTATATTTGTTGAAAGTTCCGTCATCATTGATAGGTGTTATGTCATCAGTGTATCGAAAAGTATAGTTTAGTCAAATTGTTCAAATTCGTTGAGAATCATTGAAAAACATTGGCTTCCTACTGTTGTGTAGGTTAAAATGTCCATCTAGATTAGATAATGAGTGTTGGGTTAACAACTGTTTACTTCACTAGCCGTGTTGAGTAATTAACCTGCATTTTTCATTTAGTAAACTAAAATTATATATATAAATAATAAGTAATATATATGTATAAATAAGGACCTGGAAATTGAGTGTTTGATAAATATAGAATGATAGCTTATTTCTGGATTAATTCATCGCAGGCTTTAGGGATATCCAGGCGGCAGTGTGAAGTTAGCTCGATTTTCGATTTTGGTGAATAACGAAAAACAACTAGCTCGTTTTTCGATATTGGCGAATCGATATTCAAACTTGAATCTCAAAAAAGCAGATTTAATGGATGTACATCTACAGAATGCCTCCAAAACACATTTGATTGAATCAGTTTTGTAAAACGAACTAAAGATATCATAAATGAGGATGCCTGAGCAGTGGATTCACATAAAAACTGTTCTTTCACCTCGTTTTTCGATATTCAGACTTGAATCTCAAAAATACAGATTTTGATCATGTATATACCTACAGAATGTCTCCAAAACACATTTCATTAAATCAGTGTTCTAAACCGAACTAAAGATATCATAAATGAGGATGTCTGAGCATGGGATTCACATAAAACTGCACTTTCTCCTTATTTCTTGATATTGGCGAATGTCGAAAAACGATTCAGAATTGAATCTCAAATAAGCAGATTTGATGGATGTATATCTACAGAATGTCTCCAGAGAGAGAGAGAGAAATGGGGTTTAACGTCCACTCGACACAAACTAGTTCATTTCGGGACTAACACATGGTTCAATTTTATTTCAATCATTCGCTTGCGCCTAGGGGTCTTTAGCAGTGGGAGGAAACCGGAGGACCCGGAGAAAACCCACGAGGTTGGACAGGCGACCCTACTCCTTGTCACGTACAACCGGGGAATCAAAACCCCGCCAGTTGACTCAATGACAGACCGTATGATACAGCGCGCGCGTGCTAACCATTAGGCCATCCAACCCCCCAGAATGTCTCCAAAACATATTTGATTAAATAAGTATTCTAAAACGAACTAAAGATATAAATGAGGATGCCCGAGCAGTGGATTCACATAACAAAAGCTCTTTCTCCTTGTTTTTTGATATTGGGGAATGTCGAAAAACAGGCTACTCGTTTTTCGATATTCAAACTGGAATCTCAAAAAAGCAGATTCGATGGATGTATCTACAGAATGTCTCCAAAACACATTTGTTTAAATACGTTTCGTAATTTTTGAGATTCAATTCTGAATATCGAAATATCAAAAAACAAGGAGAAAGTGCAGTTTTTATGAAAATCCACGGCTCAGACATCCTCATTTATATTTTTAGTTCGGTTTAGAACACTGATTTAATCAAATGTGTTTTGGAGACATTCTGTAGATATACATGATTAAAATTTGTATTTTAAAGATTCAAGTTTGAATATCACAAAACAAGTAGAAAGAGCAGTTTTTATGTGAATCCATTGCTTAGGCGTCCTCATTTATGATATCTTTAGTTCGTTTTACAAAACTGATTTAATGAAATGTGTTTTGGAGACATTCTGTAGATGTTCATCGTTTTTCGACATTCGCCAATATCGAAAAACTGTGGCACAGGTTATTCTTCAGATATTCTGATACAGCAGAGTCATTTGTGGTACCTTTGGACTAATGCTTTTTGATGCGGTATTCTAATGGTCGTTTAGTTTCGCGTATGTAAGTTTTTTGACAGGAGCAGGTAATTTGTTACACACAACGTTTTGGTTGAAGGGTATTGTTGGTCGGGATTTCTTTTATTTAGATACCTACTTTAAAAAGTGTCTCTATTCCAGCGGGCTTAAGAAGTCTGCTGATTTGATAAGATAACTTGTTGTGAAAGGGAATGGAAATTCAAATGGGAGAATCTTGGATTGTTTTGCCTGGTTTGGGATCATTGCTTATGGCGGTGTGGATTACATTTTTTTTTAAACAAATTGTTCAGGATATTGTTTCAAGTTGCAGAATTGTATATTAGATGGCCAGTAATTGTCCCTGTCGGTTTATAGCATTTTCGCTATGCAGTAGTTTCAAACTTATGGTCCCTGACATACCGAACAATTCTGTACAAACTTCCTTAGACCAGTGATACAGATGAACCTTATCGCAAGTCATACTATCGTAATAACGTCGCTCAGTAATTTAATACTAATTGTATTAAATTAAACACAACAGTTCTATGGAAAACAATTACTGCATTTAAAACGGAGCTAAGTTTCTACAATGATACCTTTTCCCCCCAATAGATGTTTTATTGCCTCCAGCAGAAATTATTCATATACATGGCAGTTTTGCAAACAATACATTAAAAAAATTAAATGTTTCGCCTATTGGCAAGTCTTCAGAAAACACACAAACTGAGTATTAGTGGATGTTGTATAAACAAGGTTGTATGACTGTCTGTATATAATAAGATATTTGGTAATTATATTCATTAATATAAAATAAACAATGGAAAGGTTACATGGCCTACCAATGAGGAGCGCCCTATCCCCGCTACTGATCGAAGTCTGCATGACCTCCCTCGAAGAAAAGGCTTTGCAGTCCTCCCCAACAACACACATCTGCTGGTGATGCTGAAAGAAGAAGGTGATCCCAGCTGCTTTCTACAACACCACAAAAGTCAGCACCCACGAATCAAATTCACGATGAATAAAGAAAATAATGGAGCTGTCCCTTTCATGGTTCAAAGAAACGACAGTACTATCCAAACCAATCTATATCGGAAGCCAACATCCACCTACATCATCTACAAGTCAAACCATTCAAAGCAGCTATTATTTCAACCCTTGTCCACAAAGCTAAGAAAATAAAGAATCAGACCATACACAACTACTTTTGCGAAAATGCTATAAACCGACAGGGACAATTACTGGCCATCTAATATACAATTTCGATTATAGTATGTCAGGGGTAGTAGTGTTAAAAATCAAACGAGATTTCCATTCCTTATTACTCACTACTCATGAAAATTTGGTGAAAATCGGTTGAAAACTGTACTGTGTGTGGTAATAGGGAACTTTATTTTCCTCGATAACAACTATCCCCATAGACATAAATAAACAGACCGTTCCTACTATAAGAATGAAACATTATACACTTTTTTTTTTGACATTGATCAAGTTACAGCTCCTCGCTTGCAGGTGACCAGCATCTACGACAGAGCCCGGAAAAATCTAAGAGGGAAATATTTTCAACCAGGAGGAGAAGCCAAGGGGTGCCAAATTGTGAGCCATGGTTGCCCATTGAGTATCATACCCCTCGCAGTGTTTCGTTTGATTAGAGCTAATCCCACTACTCACTGCTATAAAAAAAGCAAATTCTTGTTCTAAATTATGACTGGTCAATAGTCCGATTAGCAACCAATAGCTAACTGCGTAACAATACCAAACAGAGCTCCAAATATGTTTACATAACGTTACGTCATGACTCTCGATTTTATTATGCCCAATTAACCAGTGCATAGCAGAATATTGCAGAAAAACTAATTGTGTGACAAACAAGGCTATCAACTGTCAACACGCATATTATGTAAACAATATTGTTTTAATACGAACAACACTTTAATTGTTTTTAATACCTTAAATCACCGTCGAAAGTTTTAGGGAAGGCCCCCGATTAAAAAAAGGGCTGTGATGTTGCTGTGTTTGGGGATAGATTAGATTGAACGGGAAGAATAGACACACTCCCTCAAAAGCGCAAGTATCAGAAGCTAATCCAGCAATGGCCAGAGAGGGATTTTTCGGGCCACTGCTTCAGGAATATGATTGAGTATTGTCCGATAAATTTCCTCGAGATTTTCCTATCTGGTTTCCCCTGGTCAGTGAGACAGGGCTGAGGACGGCAAAGAAAAAAGCGTCTTTCGAACGGGACGAATACCCAAGGTCAATCAAGATACTCGTCGGCGTGCATGTTAACGAACTCTTAAGAGTTGAAATTCGATGAAGAGCAGGTAAAAAAGCCGTTGTCCTTAGAATTCTTTTATTATGATGCTAATTAGTTATATTCGGCAAAATGCGTGAACAGTTGAAATCAAATGCTTCTCGGGAGCATATAGAAAACGAGACGGTGGACTGATTTTAAAATGTCCACTGTCTCTTTAATATGCCTATCTTCATTTGCCCGTATGGGACACAAATGTAGGATAATAAACCCCATTTCATTTCATGGGTTGAATGCTGATGGAGCAATGTGTGCCGATCTTTTGCTCAAAAGCATGTTTGAGGTGGAAATCTTGAGATACACAAACTGGAAGTAGCATACTAGTAGCTATGTAACCAATGTGATATCTTTAAAAACGTAGCTTAATATTACTTTAAATATTGAAAAATGTAATATATATCTTACTGTTGTTATTAAACTTCTAGATATTAAAATTTAATATATTTCTTACTGTTGTTATTAAACTTCTTGATATAAAATGTAATAGATTTCTTACTGTGGTTATTGAACTTTTAGATATAAAAATGTAATATTATATATTTTATACTATTGTTATGAAACTTCTAGATATAATTATGTAATATATTTCTTACTGTCGTTATTAAACTTCTAGATATAAAAATGCCGACTAGTAACAAGAATGCTTCATCATTTCCCAAGTTGTAAGATCGACCAGCCTCGTTAAACTGTAGCTGATCCTGAAATATTTAAGTTATAAAACTATACCAGATATTATAATGGAAGGGGACGTTAAGTATTGTTTAATGGTCGAGAGCGAGGCATTAAGTAATATATTGAAACGGCACGAGGGCCGTGAGGTCCGAGTATTGTTTTAATATATTACGTAATATCTTAAACTCGAGACCATCAAATAACTTAAAGTACCGACACTCCGCACGTGCTTTTACAGTAAAATACGTCACGCGAGTCCAATATTTCACTAGTATAAATAATGTACAATTGGCAGGTTGCCCATACTACTATTTGAAATGATGGTACGCCAAAATCAAAGGATGACGTCACATCTGTATTTTAAATGAAGCTATTTCACACACACACGTTATAATCACACCGTCTGATGGAGTTTCATCCTTCCGTAACATTTAGCAATTGGGCACATTAAAAACACGACGACTTTTTATATTAGTGCTCACATCGAATGTTTATTTTACTATTCAAATGCTATCGATCATTCGATTCGATGGCCGTTGTTTGGCGCATTTTTATACCCCCACATTTTAGTGTGGGCGTATCATGTCGCCACCCTGTCCGTCGGTCCAGCGGTCCGTCAACAATTGGCTTGTAAAAGCTATTGAGGCTACAATTTTTAACGTGTTCTTTTTTCAAATTTGGTTTGAATCATTTGAGTCCTGTCGGAACGAACCCTATCAATATTCAACTTTCTGCGTTCTGGGATTTTACATTTTCCTTTTACATAAGCTGCAGTTGGGACAAAGCTTCTGCGTGGGCGTACTCTACGCTTTGCGTGACTATCTCTAGATTTCTAGAAACTATAGATCTTTCCAATGAATATAGTTTCAATTTTCTGTCTGTTTCTTTGCAGCTATTAGTTGAGTTCATTAAATTAATATTAGTAAATATCTCTGACGAGATACATGACTGACCAAATTCCATTGCCTGAAAGGGGTTTAAATAAACTATATTATAATGTTTATTACCAATTCTATCTGCCAGAAATAACCATCCGGAAATCTTTTGTTGTTTTTTATCATTTCAAACACAGCAGCTTTCCGGTGTGTTCCTAATACACCCGTAGCAGGCTGAAAGAGAAAATGTTGTGAATAATATTCAGTGGTACGCTCAATTAAGGCTATTCCTGCATATATTCATTCACTTTGATTAGTATTTAACTGTAGTATTTCGTGAATATTATGCAGTCCATGAACTATTATACGTTGTTTAAATCGATCTGAAATCTTCAGCAACTTTTTTCTATAATACAATACAGAATACAATACATATTACTTACCATTATTTCGGTCATATGATATGTAAAATTTTCCATGACATATTGTAGTACTTGTAACATGGCGGCCTGGTCTCGCTGAGCTAAACCAATCCTTCCCCTTCTATCATTCACCAACAATGATAAGTTATAGGCATTTGGACCAATTAAATCATTAAATATAGGATATATATTACCACTAGGCTGTAAACAAATCATCAACAAAATATAAATAACATTTTAAGTTGTAGTAGTAGTACCTTAGGTCTTTAACGTCTGCTTCCACAAACGTAATATCGCAGACAATATTTTATTTAAATTTTAATTTACATATATATACCTAATGATAGCTAATGTCTGTGGCGAAATTTATATCATATGCATGTTTATAACAGAACTTACATTAAGATATATTCTATGTAAAGCTGCTACTATTTCTTTTAATACAATGCCAAATAAAAATACACTGCTAGGTCGATTTAGTGATTTCTGAAAGGAAAATAACCAACAGTTATTAAATCATCAGATTTAGAGCTGAATGGTTCATGAAGTGATTGTTACTAGTAAAGGAGAACTATGGCCGCCCCTCACCACTTTCAAATAAATTGATTCCCTTTCCACCACTATCACCAACAACACCATTGCGCCCTATCCTGGTTAGCCTTGTGCTAGCCAAGAAATACCTACAATACAATAACCACAGTAATCCTAGCGCATTAATTAAATGTGTTCTTAAATTGGTATTAAAACAGAGCTAATATATTTTCCTGCGGTTGAGGGAACCGAATTAGAAGGGACAAAATTTCTCTCCATATGCGTAGTAATATATAGGGTATGAAGTACTGTTTGTCAGTAAATAGTCTTACGGAGTCATTCAGGTCGAAGTCGCCAGATTCAACAGACGTTTTTTACAATTAACACTGATTTGTTGTCATTACGTGTACGTTTCGACGGACAGGTTGTTTATCTACGATATCATAATAAATCAACACGAAAACAATCAATCTGCTGTATCTCTAGCTGACATTTTAAATGAAGTGAAAAATCAAAGAATCGAGACAGAAAAGAAGTTTGATATGTTACGGGCAGAAATACAAGGGACTATGCAGAAATTCGCATCTGACGTAAAGAAGATCAAGACAAATCAAGATCATGACTGGAAGTTTAAGGGAAATAAAATTCAATTTGGTTTTAACGTAGAACTGGGAGATAAGATACAACATATTAGAAATGCAGTTAATAATGACGACAGAGAGATTGTAGATGGTTTACTAGATGATGTTTTGAGCAAACTAAGTGAAAGAAATAAATTGATTAAAAAAGCTGATTTGTCTACAGGTGGCTGCATGGGAGACTGTCAACCAGTATGTAGCTAATCCCTTGTCCAATGATTCGGAAGATGAGAGGAGGATTAGTAGAGCTGAACAGAGAGCGTTGAAGAAGGGGAAGGAGTTAAAAGGTAGATCTTCCGTTCCGAAGAGAAGGAGATTGTATGATAGCAATGACAGTTCGGTGACAGGAAGTTCATCTAACTTGGCTTCCTGTGTCCCTGCAACCGGTGGCGGGGGTAGGAATTATTCTTTTTTGTCCCCAACTAAACAGAGGGTCTTGTTTCAACTGTGGAGAATTTAACAATTACAAAAGAGACTGTCCCCACACGAACTCTTACAACAACACCACAACCGTTAAGTCAACACAGTGATGAGATTTTAACTTGTATAAAAGATGAGTATTTCATCATACTAATGATTTTAATGTTGATCAACCGGTTGTAGAAAGGTTTAAGCATGATTATTTCGAAAGCGAGGAGAGTCAAGCTAACATTTTAGTTAAAGGTCGATTACGCAAAAATGTGAAATTCTGGAAAGATATTAATTGTAATTCGTATATATTAGATGTTATTGAAAATGGTTATTAGATTCCTTTTAATGATGGTCCAGATTTTACGTTCTTAAGAAATAATAGATCTGCCTTAGATAATTCAGATTTTGTTGGGGCTAAAGATTTAGAGGTAAGGGGTCTGGTGAGTAGATGTCAAGTTCCTTCAAGAGTTGTTAATCTTCTATCAATGTCTATTCAGAGCAATGGTAAGAAAAGGTTTATTTTAGATTTGAGAGAGGTTAATAAATTTGTCGGCATGCAGACGGTTAAATATGAGGATATTCGTACAACATTGTTATGTGTTAAGGAAAAGTCCTGGATGTTCAAGTATGATATACATGTTGCTTATCATCATGTAGAGATTTGTGATGCACAAACTCAGTTTCTAGGTTTCTCATGGGTGATGAATGGAGTTGCAACCTATTATAAGTTCTTGGTGCTACCATTTGGTCTTAGTACAGCACCTTATATATTTACTAAATTATGCAGAGTTTTGGTTAAGAAATGGAGAAGTGAAGGTAAATATATTGTTATGTATATCGATGAATTACTGTGGCTAGGAGTGGTGATAAACTCTGAAAATCCGAATTTGAGAATTCCACAGAGACGATTAGATAAAGTCTTACTATGTATTGGTCAAATTCAGCGAGATTGTATATCGAATAAGGCAGTAGCTGTGAAAAAGATAGCGAGTGTTGTTGGTCAGATTATATCTATGTCTATTGTTGTTGGAAGTATTTCCCAAATTATGACACGATCATTGTCTATTGATATTTTAGATGGATCTAGTTGGGGTTCTAAAGTACGTATTTCGAAACAGAGTATTCAACCGTTATTTTTCTGGAAGGAAAATATAAGTAAAATTAATTCTAAAGTTTTAAATTTTCAGCCTGGCTTTGAACAAATAGTGTACTCAGATGCTAGTAATGAAGGTTATGGGGGCTATTGTGTACAAGCTTATCGGGATGTTGTTCATGGTTTTTGGACTGCTGAGGAAGCGGTTAAGAGCTCTGCCTGGAGAGAACTTGAAGCCGTTCGACATATTCTTAAATCTATAGTACATATCTTAAAAAATAAAAGGTTGAAATTGTTTTCAGATAATCAGAGTGCAATTTCTATTGTCCAGAAAGGTAGTATGAAGACAGAATTGCAATGTATTGTATTTGAGATATTTGGCATTTGTTTAGAAAACGGAATTATTCTAGAGATAGAATGGATACCTAGAACAGGGAATGTTAGAGCAGATTGTCTAAGTAGAATTGTTGATTATGATGATTGGGCCGTTGGAGATGGGATTTTTAAATATATTAGTAATATATGGGGACCTTACGAAATTGATGTATTTGCATCAGATAGTCCGATTCGGTTTGTTACATAATTCCCACCCGTCGGCTTTTCGGGTAGAAATCATGGAATAAGCTTTATTATGAAGTAGGTCTTCATAGTATGGGAGGCCATTATTTGAGGGTAGCCATTTTGCGATACTATTCCAACTTACTTTTATATTTTCACCTTATTTATAGTGTTATCGACATATTAGCTGTGATTTGGCAATGTATTCATATTTTCAGGGATCGTGACTATATTTCAGATAGTTTTCCATCACATCATGAAGAAGATTTTCCAAAATGGCGACCATTTTTGGCAGGAAAATCGGACGATAGTTAGTGTTAGTTGTATTTTACGTCCGCTTCCACCGAGGTGATATCGCACGATGTGCTGATTTTGATTAAGTAGTAGTGTTTGGTGTCAATACATATGTTTTCAGGGGCACAGATTCCATTTATAACCGTTACAACTGTGTAAAATGATCACATGTTCACCTATTTTGCATATGTCAAAGATGGTGGCCATTTTTGGCGGGAAAATGGGACGGTGTGCTGATATTGATTAAGTAGTGGTCTTTGGTGTCAATATTTCACCTATTTTGCATATTTCAAAGGTGGCCGCAATTTTTGGCGGGAAAATGGGATGGTGTGCTGATATTGATTAAGTAGTCGGCTATGGTACCAAGATATATTTTTTCGGGGCGGAGATTCCATTTCTGTCGTTTACAATTGTGTAAAATGGTCACATGTTCACATATTTTGCATATTTCCTAGAAGGCGGCTATTTTTGGCGGCAAAATTGGATGATGTGCTGATATTGATTAAGTAGTCGACTATGGTATCAGGATATATGTTTTCGGTGTACAGATTCCATTTCTGCCGTTTACAATTGTGTAAAATGATCACATGTTAACATATTTAGAATATGGCTGCCATTTGTGGCGGGACGTTTCCTAAACACATTACTGAAAAGGTTTCTGAATCCAATTCTGCTATGTATAAGCTTGTAGCATGTTCCTGGGAGCAGTGGTGTATTTTAACCATTACGTATATTATCCAACAATGAAAATTCCTCATCAGAGTTGACCACTAATATCAATATTCCAGGAAAATAGCACATTTACTTGGTTGATCGCGTTGTAGTAGTTGGACTCAAGTCTAATTTTAAGACTTGGTGGCGCCATCGAGACTCTCAGTTTATGTTGTCTGTCAGTTATAGATACAAAATTAACGATGGTTAAAATTTGAGAATTAATAAATTGATAAATTAAAAATAGAACAGAAATGTATGAGATTAAAAATAAAGCGGTATACAAAGAAATAAAAACAAGGACTTCAAATGAAATAGTAATACCTGCTATAAGAAACCTTCGTGGCATAGATTATATTATCAACTGACCCCAAGCTGCGTGTGGAAGAAGTCATTGAGAGGAATGCTGTTGCGTTGGAAAAACAAACTATATCACCACTTAAATGACGACGTTACCTGTTTATGACATCTCTGCCATCACTATTAAAATAACTGGTGGCAGTGATGTCAAAGTAGCCGGCCACATGCTCGTTCCACAACCAGCTTGAAAGTCACTTGATAACATAATCTATGCTATGGGGGCTTCGTAGCAAGTATTTCATTTACAGCCACGTCCCCATCACTCTGAACCACGTTGCCGCCTGGCTGGAACGAAGCTCCTGGCCACATGCTTGCTACGTTGTTACGACCTTTAAGTATATATAGGGAAGATACTGAACATCGTCCGTCAGCTCCAACTTAGCGTCCCAAGAATAAACATCAAGAAAACTAATAATTGTTCTTGATTGCTTGACTTTTGATTGTTCTCTGCTGTGAAAGTTAATGAGGACGTTATAGGCGTGGCGAGAAAAGGGTCTTGCGCCTGGTAGGCACGTCACTGGAGTGTGGTGAGAACGTATCCCGATCTGACTGCTAACGGCGAGATCTTGGTAGGAACACGTTGCGCGTAGCTAGAGCTTGGGCTTGAGGGTAGTAAGATCTTGACAGGAGCGCGCTGGGTGTAGCAAGCGCTTGGTTGCTCGAGGCAGAAGCATGATGGGTGTGTGTCAATTTCTTGCCACGTTTATTGGCGCAAGCCCAACGCTACCGTTACGCTCTCTATGCCTTCATGCCAGGAGACCGAGTGAATAGGCCTTTCTTTCCCAGGAAAATCGATATCAGCTCAGCGGTCATCTCGGGTGAGGAATTTTCATCGTTGGATAATATACCAAATGGGTACGACAGGGTACCGGCTTTCAGGAATGTGCTAG